AAAATTTTAAAAAAAAAAAAAAAAAAAAGAGCGAAGAGAGAAAAAAGTTGAATACAATTGCACCATTGGCTCTCATTTAATTGTTAGATTAGCAAGTTGATCCTCAATCTTAAAAAATGAGCAAATTAATATCTTTCATAATAGTTATAAAATAAGTTCCTTGTATAGCTACATAGTCACCTCAATAATTACTTTTAAAATACTTTTAAAGTTATTTTTTTATATTTAAAACCTAAAAATAATCTGCACTCACCAACTTCGAAACTTTAAAAAAAAAAAAAAAAGAGCGAAGAGAGAAAAAAGTTGAATACAATTGCACCATTGGCTCTCATTTAATTGTTAGATTAGCAAGTTGATCCTCAATCTTAAAAAATGAGCAAATTAATATCTTTCATAAAATCAGTTCCTTGTATAGCTACTTCAGCATTAACACAATGATGAACAACATCACATTGTCACGAAAATATGCAACCTTGTGGAGTAGATGTCATGCCACTAGTATTTAAGAAATTTGCTGCTTTGTCCAAATGATTGACATTCTCTCATATGTCATGAGTCCAGTGTGAATAAAAAAGTCCAAAAAAAAGTGGGATCTCGTTATTGTGAGAGTCGGTCACTCCCTTTGCCAAAAAAATTCGAACACTGTAGTGGGATTGGCATTTTTAAGAGACTCTATCTATAAAAAGCATTTTATGTATAATAAAAAATATTTTTATGTCTAGAGAGAATTTTTTTTTTCCACTACAATAATGCTATCGATTTTGGATATTCATTTTATTTTTTCAAGAGATATTTGTTGATTACTTCTCATCTTTTATTTAACATATTTCTTATGCCCTTGTTTGAGCCACATTTTGAGGGGGGAAAAATATTTTTTTGAATAGTATATTAATGAAAAATATGTGGTTAAAAATTAAGAAAAAGTTTTGAATTTGCGTGTAATATTATTTTATTGAAAAATATATAGTTGAAATGATGTCAAAAAACTATTTAAGAATACATTTTTTTTTCAAAGAATGGGGTTCATACATGAGCATATATGTCAATTACCAATTAATTCAAATATAATTTGAATAATCTAAGAAAAAAACTATTAAAATTTGTATTTCATAAATACGGTTATTGAAGTCTCTTGGTGATTATTTTTAAGCATTTAACTCGATAAAATAGAACACTACAAGAATTTTATGTTTTCCCTAAAAATTTATTTATGGGCAAAGACTCTTATTTGTGAGGAAATACCTTTGTAGACGAAAAAAGTTTGTAGGCACATTTATGGGGGCAAATATCGAGGGGATAGGTATAAGATGACACATTTTTAAAATTTGTGGGTATTAGGCTGTGATGCCAAAATTACCTTTTGAGTGTCCAGCCCATTTGGGGAAATGATGATATAAGGTCCAACAGATACTACCCAGCCCATTGCCCAATAAATCAATGTTTAACCAGCTGAAATCCGGCCCAAACCAATTAAACTATGCAAGTCGCTCTGGACCATTTGATCATCTTAACCTAAAATCTACGGTGGCTACCCATAATATATAAACGAGGGTTGAGACTCGTTTGGCCCTAATTCGAGTCATATTCTCTCTGCCTCTTTGTGATTTTTCTCTCGAACCTTCTGGGTCTCTCTCTTCGTGACTATGTGTCTTCTGCTTCTTCTTCTTCTCTATAAATCTTGAGATTATGCCATTAAACTACTGGTTTTGTGGCCACTGTGTGTTCCTACAGTCTGTGTGACTGTTCGGTTGAGCTTTGTTGGGAGTTCTCAGTTAGGTCTTGAGTGTTCTTGGTTCCTTAAAGTGACTGCCTCTGTATTTTGTGATTTGGGATTGTGGTTTATGAGTTTTACATTGTACAGACGGGTACAATGCTAAGATCTGAGCCCTAATCGATGAAATCTTGATGCCTTTGTGTCTGAGAGTTTTCTGTCTTAGTTGAGTCGATTTGGGTATTTTCTTGTAACGGTGGGCTAAGGTTTTTCCTACGAACCCTTTGGAGACGAATACAATTCGTCGTATAAGTTTTCCTCCGATAAAGTAATTCGTCTGCTAAAGTTACTTCTACACAGGAAGCGATTTTGCTTGTCCCTACAAATTATCTTTTGGGCTAAATTGTGTTTATCCCACAAATAAAATTTTGTGTGGAAATTTTAATTGTGGCCAAGATATAAACAACTTTCCCTACAATTAAAAGTTTTTGATAACGTGGAACAAATTATTTTGTGGGTTGAACCCTATTTTTCTGCAAATAATTTTTAGTGGGGAAAGGATATTTGTAAGCTATTAATATTGAATTTGTAGGGAGAAATTAAAATATGTCATATATTTTCCCGCTAAAAATATAATGAAAATTAGAAACAAATTTTGCTTATTATTAGCCTACAAATATATCAATTTTTTTGTAGGCAAAAGATACATGTTTCTGGACAAATTTTGTTGTCATGAGAAAATATAATTTTTTGTAGGCACATATCATCCCACTATTGGAAATTTTGAATCAAATCATAGCCCTACGAATCATTATTTTTGTGGGGAAAAGTGAAACCCACACATAAATCTCAATTTGTCTCTCAAAATTTTGTAGGAAAAATATAAATTTCTTGTAGTGGAAGTATCTTCTGAGAAATATGTATATATGCCCACAACCCATATGTGTTCCATATTCAGAGCCGGCCCTAACAATTCGGAGGCCCTAAGCGAGTCGGCAATCTTGAGGCCCCATACTTTATTTTTCTACACGTATAACAATATTTAAATAAAAAAATCTATATTTAAATGAAAATTTTGTACAATATAAAAGATGGAATTGCTAAATAAAATATCACTTACAATCCGAGAGATTAACCTAGCATCATATTTAGTCTTCTCATGTTTTGAGATGCAAAATTAGTAATAAAACAATTCAAATCAAGTTTTTCCAACATTTTTTTTTTAATAGAAATCATAGATAATTCATTCAACCTCTCTTATGACATAGTTGATCGAAGATAAGATTTAATCAATTTTAACTTTGAAAAACTTCTTTAGCGGACGCAATAGTGACTGGGATAGTCAATAATATCCTATAAGCAACCCAAGCATTTGCAAAACAACAATTCATTCTCTTAATGTAATTTAACACATCAGCTGCTCCATTCATTTCTGTAGATATTGCTTCTCTTAAAACTGTCAACTCAGAAAATAATTCCATTCCATCGATATCAGATACTGTGTTATACTTCAAATAATTTTCAAGATTAATGCAACGACACTTCAATGTAGCATCATCAATGGATTTAAGCTTTTCCAAATCAAATAAAAATCCAAAAATATCGTCATATTCCTGAAATTGTTCAAATCTATTTTGAAGCGATGATAGAGCTTGATCTACTACATATAAAAAATAATTGACCCTGAAAGATTCTTCAACTGTTTCTGTCATCTCTTCACAAGAAATCTCATCAAACTGCTTCTTTCTACGTATAACTCTTTTTTCACGAAATATCGGTTCAATGTCTAATTCACTTGCAATCTCTTTAGCATCAATCACGGCCGATTCAAACCCAATTTCTCTATAGCTTTTGAAAAATGAAATGAGCCCTTTTAAATGGTCTATAACAACGTCAATATGGATGTCCTCTGTTTGCAAATGTTTGCTTACTCTATTAACATTATTCAACACTTCATACCAAATAACCATCCCAAGTAAGAATTCAAAATTCTCTATTTCATATGTTGCCAAACACTCCGCCTCACTTTTTGTCTTAGGATCATCAACTCTTGCCAATTCAAGTAGAGCATTTCTTATTTGTGGAGCTTGAAATCTTATTACTCTAATACTTTCAACATGACTTTCCCAACGTCTTTGAGACAAAGGCTGAAGAGTAAGGCCATTCACATTATCTTTAAAAAATTTCCATCTTTTAGTAGATGATGAAAATAGAGTGTATATACGTTGCACCACTCCAAAGAAAGATTTAGCTTTTGTATAACAAGTAGCCATATCACAAAGTGCAAGATTGAGACTATGACACCCACAAGGAGTGTAAAATGCTCTAGGATTTACTTGTAGTAGTCTATTCTGTACCCCTTTATGTTTTCCTCTCATGTTAGCACCATTATCATATCCTTGACCCCTTATATTATCGATATCAAACTCTAGATTATTCAACGCATTCACTAATTCATCAAAAAGTCCCTTTCCAGATGTATCATCCACCAATAAAAATCCTAAAAAAATTCTTCTACCTTCACTGGACTTGCTGAAATATCAACACACCTCAATACCATAGACATTTGTTCTTCATGACTCAAATCTGGAGTGCAATCAAGTATCACAGAAAAGTACTTGGATTCTTTGAGTTTCTCGATGATTATTTTCTTGATCTCACCCGCTAGCATAAGTATCAATTCATTATGAATTTTGTGTCCAAGATAATGATAATAAATTTCTTTATTTTGAATTCGACGAATATGCTCTTGCATTACAGGATCAAACTCAGCAATTATTTGAATTAAGTTTAAGAAGATACCATTATTTTCTTGGTATATCTTCTCATTATCTCCACGAAACGCCAAATTATTTTCTACAAGAGTTCTAACCACGGATATTATTCTCAACAATACTTGTCTCCAATGTTCTCTATCCTTATTGATTTGTTCCTGCACACTTTTATCAATTGTTTGTTCCTTTTGAAATCTGATTTCCATTTCGATCCATCTACTCAAGTTAGTGATATGGTCATAACTCACTTCATGTGTTCTTAGTTTTTCACCAATACTTTTCCAATCATTTGCACCATCATGTGCCAATTGAGTTTGAACCCCATCATTCTTGAATAGCTTACAACAAAAACAAATTATTTTATCCAGACTTTTTGAATATATCAACCATTTTCTATCATGATTCTCTCCATTGGGTAATCGTCGAGTGTAATGAATAGAGGAGAAGTGTCGATTAGCTACATCTTTTGGAAAAATTACATCATTATCTCTTACTGGACCTTTCATTACGATTAAGGCCCTGTTTGGCACCCATTTTTATCAAAATGTATTTTTCTCTCTCTTCTTTTCAACCACACATTCTTTATTAAAATAATATTACACGTAAATCAAAAACTTTTTCTTATTTTTCAACCACACATTTCCCATCAATTTACTATTCAAAAATTCATTTTCATATAAAAATTCCTACCAAACACCCTCTAAATCTCTTAAATTTTGATTCATATTTTCCCAATTCGCTGGATCACTAATATCAAAGGAGAATGGTTCACTAATCTTTTTATTGATGTTTCTTTCATCCATAACATCATCCTCGATAGATATCTCTTCATTCACCAGACAATGATGTTTTTCAATTGTATTATTGTCGATATCATTCTTATTAAACTCTTCTTTGAGAACTACATCGTCATTATGTTTTTGTTTATTACCACTAAAAATTTTATCAAGGGCTCCCTCTTGAGATTTAATCAATTGTTCAACCTTCTTATGCCGTTTCTTTTAGAATATCCAGATTCAAATTTTCTAGTGGACATAATTAAAGCACATAACGGTAGAACCTGATTCAGAGTTCGACTTAAAAGTATCCCAGATTCTCAAATATTCCAAGTGTAGAAATTCAACAATCAACCTGCAAGAAATAATAAATAAACCAACTTATATGAGAATAACAGGTTGAAGTAAGTTAACATCACAAAAATTGAACTATGCCAGCTACTAAATTCCTATTCTAAAACACACTTAAAACAGAGTGGTCAATTGATGATCATCAGCCAAAAATTCACAAACCATTTCTTATGGATTCATAACATTTCACGGACTTATATAATCAACTAGCGAAGACGTCAATAGACAATAGTTTAAATCCTAATCAGAAATTCAACTTTTTTATATACAAATTCGAAAGAAAAAATAAATAACCCTAAATATCAAAACTAATGAATACAGGATACCAGAACCCATTATCTCTAATGCCTCAAACATATATGATTAAATTTTTTTTTCATATTAAAATTAAAAAATCAAATTGAATTGCAATTCATACAATCAAAATTGAGCCAAAATAAATTCCTGGTCAGACAAAAATAAAAAAATAAAAAATTAAACCTACAGGATAAACGGGAAATTTCCAATCATAAATCATTGATCCATAAATAAAAATTTCGAAATTTTACTTTCTTGGCACGATCTATAATTCTTTATCCACCAAAAATATCACAAAGCATCTGAGAAAACAAAGCGAGCCCAGATAATAAATCATGAAGAATTTCAAGGAGAACCGACCAATTAAATCCCACAAAAAAAAAATAATTCAAACATATAGATACCCACATATAAGAACAACAAAAAGAAATAAACAAATTCTGTCAACAAAAAGACTGGGTTTTACCTCGACGAAAGGATAGAGAATTCGAGATTTGAATGGAGAAATAGAGAAACAAATTATTGAAGATGGGGCATTTTGGACAACAACAGGGGATTCTGGATTCACTGGGATTGAGATTTCAGATTTGAGAGGAACCAGAGACTAGAGAAAGTCGAATTGAAAAGATAACGGGCTGGGCGGTTCGTGGTGTATGTATTGTATACGGACTCGGGACTCCAAGTGGACCAAGTCTCCAAAATAATTTAATTCATGTAGTCCAAGCCCAAAGGCCCCAAATTATTTTTCGTATTTTGGGAATTGAAAATAATATAGATTTTGAGGCCCTGGGCCCAAGCCAAAATTTGGAGGCCCTAGGCAGTGGCCTAGGTGGCTTGGCCTAAGGGCCGGCCCTGTCCATATTCATCTATATATTTGTACGGCCAGTTTAGAAATTGTCAAACAAATCTCATGAGAAGATGTGAAGTAAAAAATTTAGAACTCTTGATTCAAGTGATGAAGCGAAGGAGCGTGTGATGGTTTCACACAATTTTGGACGATTTTCTATCCAATAACCATTACATAAAGATGAAGATAAGTTAAGATATGCTCAACGTACTTTCATGACAACTTCGTACAATTTTCATTTATGAATGAATTAGTTTTAAAGCAACTAGATTGCTACTTTTTACATATTTTATCACACGGATAATTTCTTGTCAAGATAAATACTCTGTGATCCAACATCCTCCATTAAGAGCTAGCCTTCTAAAACGCACGCTTAGCCGCAAAGAGTTCTCAAAATATCTTGCCTAGGGCCAAGGTATGAAAAATGCGATCAGCTCTCCTGTTGGCAGCCAAAGTTCCAAGAATTCAAAAGAAAAAAAGAAAAAGTTTGAACCTCTTGAAACTTTTAAGTAAATGTGTACTTACGATTTTGAGACTTTTTAGGTTGGAAATTTTGAAAGTATTTATGAAATTCCTATAAATTTTTTGAAAATGAATTGTCTAGTTGAATATTAGAAAATTGACTAGTTTTTGTAAACTTAAAAAATTATATATTTATATGAATTATTGCTAGTTAGTGTTTATGATTTTAAATGTTTTTATACTCATTATTTTATTTTATTTATATTTTAGAATAATTAAACTAAGAAAAAATATTATGTTTGGACTCATAAAGCTTGAAGTTTGACATTATCGTCTAGCTACACTTTTATACATTTTAGATAATGCTAAGAACCGATCTAGTTCGTTGATCAATTGAAATTCGTAATTATATCAAATCCTCCTACCTCCACAAAGATAAAACTAAAACATATTAGATTAATTAGAATAAAGGTAGTTCTGAATCTTGTAGAGGTAAAGATTGGGTTCAACTAACAGGACATCTATTGTGAGCGATATTGAGCTTCAAGAGCTATGAGCTTAAGAGCTCACAAAAGAGCTTAGGGATGAGAAAAAAGAGGTGGAATTTGTTTCAAATCTTAAACTACATAAACTTCAATCCTGGAGGTGACAGATTCTTGAAAAATTCTCACCTCTTCATTAATAACAACAACTTAGAATACTCCTCACTAAGTAGAAAACTAAAAATTTCATGAAATTTGATATGAGGTTAGAATTTGACCAATTCCTCTTTTCGAGGCCTATTCAAAATATGCGCATGTTTAGGAGCCACTATCCAAAATTTCATAAAAAATCCAATCGTTTATAACAGTACTATGCAGCCAACTCTAGTCGCGATAATTGATAAACAAAAATCACTCGTCCTTTTCCATTTTGAAATCTCAAAAATACCCTATTTAAAAAGATTGAATGCAAAAATTAAGGGGTATAATTGACTTTTCATCGATCCACTTTAATTGATTGATAAGAGAATAGTTGACAATGACAACGACACTGAAGCCCACTTGACTCTATATAGGGACTGTCTACTGCAGCTTCTAAACCCAAAAAAATAAAAAGATAATAATAATAATTCAAAATTTCCACTGTTTTTGGTCAATTGGGAGCCACATGTGAGAGTGGTGGTCAAAAATGACGGCGGCCAACGATAAGAAAATTCATTTTTTTGCCCAAAAATTGGCTCCAAACAAGGGCATAATATTTGGATTTTTAATTAAAATCTAGAGAGAATAACGCCTAGATAGATGCTATATCTTATACAAACATACACCTACTACTAGAAAACTTCTCGTATTAATATGTTTCTTGCTATTTTGAATTACCAGTGGAGGGAGAATCTTTCCTAATAACGAATCACTCTCAACATGCAATTTTTGAAGGATTTTTATTGTGATCGAAGCAAAGCTTCTGCTTGGGGATATACTTCGAGACTTTTATGAGGATGCATTTTAATATCAAAAATTAGTTGTACAATTAAAGGATCAACTTAATATATTGCAGAAGTTAGAGACCAACTTGCTACTCAAATACTAAGTTGGGATCCGTGGGGCAATTATTCCCATTACAATAAAGGGAATAAGCAAATTGGACATAAAATATCTAGAGAGAAGCGTACAACGCAAGCAATCTTTTCCAGAATATTCTGAAAACGAGTAATCAACGGCCACGTGGTTATGGCATCTTCGGATAATTTGTAGCCATCGTAACAGGTGGGTCCATGTGGGCCCAAAACGTGTGGCTGTTTGAATTGCCAAGGTCCAATGGCTACTCATTGATATACGGGCTGATGGCGACCCGGGCCGTGTATTATGGTCCATTTTGCTCCACGAAATTAAAGTTAAATGTGACTTATTAGTAATAATAATTCATAATTAGAAAATAATTGCTGCATTATTTTGGTAGGATTTTGATTACAATTAGAATATTTTTAACATAATTTTTACAGAATTACACTCGTCAAGATTTCATTTGCAATTGGAAAAAAGGAAAAAAAGAAAAAAAATAGAAAAATAGAAAACAGAAAGCTTTTGTAAACAATAATACCGTACATATGATTTTTTCCTTATAATTAACCAAATTTCTCACCCTCTACACTCCATAATTGTTCCTTTTTTAGTCCTTCTGCTTCAACTAAACAGTTATATTAATTTAAATCAAAGTCAAAAATAAATTTTACAACTTTTTAATCACACAATCCATCAACTTTTATTAAAATATACTAAAAATTTAATTTTTATCGAAGTCTAACGAATACTTAGTCTCAAAATATTGTATTAATGAAAAATTAACCAAATATCTCACCCTCTACTCTCCATAATTGTTTCTTCTTTAGTTCTTCGGTTTAACTAAAAAGTTATATTAATTTAAATCAAAGTCAAAAATTAATTTTAAATCGTAACTTGTTAACCATACAATCTATAAACTTTTATCAAAATAAAGTAAAAATTTAATTTTTACCTAAATCAAACCCGTGCTTAGTCTTAAAGCGTTGTATTAATGAACTATTCAATATTTGACTACGATAATCTAAGAATGCACGAATTCAATTTTTGCAGCTCGTTTTGCATCTATGAAACCGAGGTCCTAATTTGAAATTAACTTTTAAATTTTATTACGATCATCCATCGTTGGTTTGTCTCTGGATTTGTTGTTAGTGAGACACTATTTGGTGGAAGTTAAAATTCAAATTTTAATATAAGTTAAAATCAGTAATGAATTTTAACCATATATTTTACGAGACCCATAACTTTTCAATCACTCATTTTATCAACTTTTAACAAAATTTTAGTAAATTTTGATTTTAATTCACACCAAACAAGTGCTAAATTGATATGAGCATTGTTTCAACAGGTAACTGTTTTATGGAGTTCATTAATAACATGTAACCCTTGTCTTTTTTTGAAATTCATTTCTTTACAACGTAATTTGATCCCACCAGATTTTATTTGCGCTTCCAGAATGGTTACATGTGATTTGTTTGCTTTGTATGATACAATGAAGGCTACGTTTAAGCCTCAGTTTTGGTTAAAAATAGGCTTTGTAATAGGGGGTTTTTTTTTTTTTAATAATAATGTGTAGTTAAAAAATAGAGAAAAATTTAGGGTTCGTGTTCAAAATTATTTTATTGAGAGAATACATGATTAAAAATGAGTTTGTGAAAAATTAAGTATTTTGATAAAGGAGATCAAACATAGACAAAATTAAAATATTTTAGAATAATGATTGTATTTTGTATTTACGAGGTTCATTCTAGAGTTAAAAATAAAGTTTCTTAATGAAAAATAATTTTCAGGGTTAATTAATTAGATTAAATCTAGATTTTTCAATCTCAATCGTAATTAGTTCATGTTTGTCTCCCTTCAAAACAAAATTCTTTAATTTACATTCAATGACACATTCACATAATAAAATATTTTGCATGTAAACTCAAAACATTTCTTTACTTTTTAACCACGCATTTTTCAAAAAACTATTATTCAAAACATTATTTTTTTCCTCAATAACGACCATCAAATAGGGCTAAGTTTGGTGGATTAAAATCTAAATCGTCAACAATTAACTATAACATCACATTTCATATGGCTAATGACTTTTCAATAACACATTTCATCAATTTTTTATCAAACTCTATTAAAAAATTAATTTAAATTTCCATCATACAGGGACTAATTATAATTGATAGTCATAGTATGTTAGGACATTAACTTCAATTGTCGAGAAACCTCTATGCGACTTGAATATCATTAAATCCATGTAATAAATTTAAAGCAATCATAATATTATTTATAATATTGGTATCGAGATAGGATCTAATTAACCAGTTCAATTGAAAAAACGGAAACTAGTCTATTTATAGATCAAAAATACAAAATTTAAGATTTATTAAATTCCCCTCGAGTCGAGAGCAGCCAATTTATGCCAAATATATATTTTCTTCACCACCGATTTGATGTTGATTCGATTATTTGACTCTTAACATTTACGTTTTTCCGGTTAATACTTTGGTCGATTTTTGAATTATATTAGTTACAAGTAGAGTTGTGCAAAAATTAAAATAAGCAAAATGGAATATCTTTTGAAGAATACGCTTCACATGCACATGAAATAAATAATAATTAAAGAGAAGCCAAAACCTCCGCGTCACGTGTCGGCTGATCGCGTTCACACTTAACCGGTTACTGGTCAAAACTAAACGTATGAATGCGCCGACTCCTATGGTCTTCAAATTCGACCAGCCCATTGTTTCGTTGTGTTCCGTACAACCCTGACCGGCAAAAAAATGTCTGCCCCAAAAACAAAACCTTGTTATTTGCAATTTGCACAGTCTTTTTCCTCACATTTTCACACTCAATCTCTATCTAGAAACCCTTTTTTCTCTTCAGTTTCTCTATCTAGAAGAGCACAAGATAAAGGGAGAGGTCACTTTTTTTTTCATGAAAGTTTTGGCGTTTTTCATAGATACATAGATCGATGGAGAGTAAAAGAAGTGTAAAGGTGGAGGATCCGAACACGTCATCTTCATCATTTTGGGATCATAATCCGGTGAGTGGAAATAATTCACACACGGGTTTGGAGGATTACTCGGTTGATGGTGAAAATGGGTCATTAGGGTTCATGGAATTGCTAGGGGTTCAAGATTTAGGCCCTTCAGTTCTTGATGCGTTACAGGTACCCCCAAATCAGAACCAGACTTGGACAGTTGATCAAGAATCATCAGAGGTGTTGAATACACCTGCAACGCCGAATTTTTCCTCTATTTCTTCAGAATCTAGTGGTGCTGGTAGACCAAATGATGAAAAGACTAAAGAAGTAGTAGACAAAGCAGACGAAGAAGAAGAACAGAAGCAGAAGACTGAGAAACAGTAAGTCATCTGTCTTTTTATTTATAAATGAATATGATCTATTTATGGACAGATCAAAAAGACATGTGGGGTGTTTTGAATATAGGTTCCTTTGACCTGTAGAATTTAGTGAAATGACTTATTTTGCTATTTTGGGTTTCATCGGAACAGGTTGAAACCCAAGAAAACGAGTCAGAAGAGGCAGAGAGAGCAAAGATTTGCTTTCATGACAAAAAGCGAAGTTGATCATCTGGAAGATGGCTACAGATGGAGGAAGTACGGCCAAAAAGCTGTAAAAAACAGCCCTTTCCCTAGGTAAATGTTAAGCTAAGAAATTAAGGCACTAATTTAGTCCCAAATCTTTATGTCCCATTATAATTATTCATCTTGATAAAAATATCCCAGTTAAGTTTTTTCCCAGGTGCAAGTACATTACAAAAATCTTTATAACGGTGGAGTACCGCCGTACCGGTGTACAATTTCTTGACTGTTTTATGGTTTAAATTATCTCAGGAGCTACTATAGGTGCACTAATGCTTCGTGCAGTGTGAAAAAGAGAATAGAACGATGTTTATATGATCCAACCATAGTCATGACTACATATGAAGGCCAACACACTCATCCAAGTCCGTTGATGTCTCGATCAAACCCTGCGGCTGAACTGATGCCGTTCTCAAAATTCTCCACCGGTGAATCGGCCGCCATCTTTATGCCGTCGCCACTGCAAATGAGTTTATCATCAGCTGCAGCTGAATATCAAGTCCATTGCAACTACTCTACGCCATTGAATTTTGGTTTTATGGGTTCTACAAATATCAACGGTGCTGCAAGTGCACACCAGAAGCGCATTTGCACTCCACCTTCTGCTTTGATAACAGATTATGGGCTTCTTCAAGATATTGTGCCCTCCATTGCGAGAAAGGAAGAGTAAAATAATCACTTTTTTTTGCTCTCTGACTGACTCATTCGTAGACATTGTAAATGAAATGAAGCCACCATCATTGGATTGTGATGCTCTTAATCTCCGTTTGTTGTTTTACCCTTTTTTTGTCCAAAAGAATCAGCATCATATCTATAAAAACATAATGACAAACCCTAGCTAATAATGACTTCTTTTGGAGGTGTTAGTTCTAATTTCATCAGGACATACCATTTTGTTTGAAACTACAACGTTGTCTCTAACGATGATCATCTTAGGCAAAATGGGGCTTAATTTAACTAAATTTTCTTCTTGCGTTCTTTACCATAGGCCATGAATCAATGATTAGACATTCTAATTGCTACGTTCTTAGGTAAAACCGTTCCAAGGATAAAATGTTCGTTAAATGAAGTAAAGAAAATCGTTCCAAAGATAAAATGATCATCTTAGTTAAAATTGTTCCAAGGATAAAATGTCCGTCAAATGTAGACATTTTTTCACATTCCTAAAGAGGATAGAATGATACGATCTCTAGTGACTAGGAGAAATTATTTGAAGTGAAAAATATTTTTTTGGATGATGTATAGTTAAAAGAGAAAATTATGAGTTCACATACAAAATTATTTTATTGGGAGAACATGGACTGAAAATGAGTTTGAAAAAAAATGATTGCTGGATAACGATTTGGATAACGATTTGCTTGAAAAAATAGGCTATAAGTAACGGTAACACTATGTTTTGTACATCCAACTACTAAACAAAGGGTTAGAAATTAAAAAAAGATTTGTATAACTAAATTCGAATTTATCTGTAACTAGATTTAATTCGTTGTTCCCTTGACTTCTTCATGTAGTTACTCTCATCTGTCCTCCTATCTTTGTTTTTCTGGCGTTGCAGGAATGTGCATTTATAATAACAAGACCATTTTCTCTTTGTCTATGAAATTGGAATAGCATTTCTGGCAATCAGAGACACAAACACGGTGGGAATTTATTGAGGGTAATAAATTGACAAGTTGCTTATAGACATACTTGTGGAACAGAAATAAGGGTTATTCTTGGATTACATAAGGACGTCCAAAATAAAAACCCCCTATTGGAGGGACGCACCCAAGAACAATTCCAAAAATAATTGACTTAGTAGATGACTTGTCCCACTTTGCATCTTCCTAATTATTGTTCTTTCCATTACCTCATATTATCCGAATAACATGAAATGTACTCTTGTTGGTTCCATACATTGAATCCTACAAGGATTTGAATGAGAAATGGAAAACGTGGTAATTATTGAGGAAGCTAGCCGAAAGGGAAAAAGGGAATATGAAACATATGCTTCATCTTGGAATAGGGTTGGTTCAAGATTCTAAATAAAGTTCACAATCTGCCTTCTTATCTGATTGGATTAGTGTCGAATCAGCTCCACATAGAGATAAAACGTATTTATTTATTTAAAATTATTTAATGTCATGTCTTCATGAAAAGTATGAAGCATGTACAATTTTTTTAAATGAGTGATGATAAAATTTAAATTAAAACGTATGCATCCATCTAGAAACATAGCGTTGGTGCTCGATTCTTGATAAAGTTTACCATCTGCCTTTCCCTATTTAGGAGACACAACGTTGAAATACTTTGTGCGATCAACATATTTACTTTTTGAAATATATTTCTTTTAAGTTTTTCATGGTGCAAGTCGAATTATTTTAAAAAAATATTCTGATAAAGTGTATATAGAGATGACAATTCGAATTGTCAAAATTGAAAACTGCAATTAACTGAACCGAATGGAGTAGAAAAAATCAAACCGATGGTGCAATAGGATAGATATGGTATTTGATTTTAGTGACCGGTTCGAGCCAGCCCGGGATGGTATTTGCGCCATTACTCGGCTCCGAATCGATTACCCATTAAAAAAAAAAAATTGTGCAATTGAGTTTTCCATTATTCTTTCTATTATAATTTGTTTAGCCCAAAATTTATGATCCATTTCGATCCATTAAATAACCTAACCCAGTTACCACTTAGCCACTAAGTACTAACCCTACCATAAAGAAAATTGGAATCAAATTCAACAAGACATTAGCCGATAGCCGTCTTCACTAGAATATCTGCAGTGCGTCCCCAAATTTTTTTCTTCTCCACACAGTATTCTTTCTTGCTCGCCGCCATCGCCATCCCCATCCCCATCCCCAAATAGAAGGATTTTTTTTCTTCCTCTTCTCGTTTGCTAATTGTTGTTGCTGTAATCTATATCTATTTTTGTTTTTGTCGAGTTTGAGTATTTGATAAAATGTGATTTTTTCTTCTTCACATAAAAGATGAATTTAATGAATTTAGTCTATCTAGAGATATTAAATTTTATTGTTGGAGGAACATGATGATATGCACTTTGAGCTTGAGAATAATCAATGAAAATGCAAGGATACAAGCAAGTTATTAAGTTGTTGAATTTACCCTGCACCAGATTGCAGGAAAAATCTCTGGAAGTTTTACAGAAAATTTTTAGAATTGTTGAATTTAAACAAAAATATAGAAATTCTGCTCAATTGTCATTAGTGGATATCACTTAGAGAGAAACAAGTAATGACATTTTGCTCAAATGTCATAAGTGAATTCATTGACTTTTTATTTTATTTTTTTATTTACGGCTAGACCAATAAACAATAATTTATTTTCGTGATTATTAACGATCCGAATTGAGCCGAACCGAGATACGAATAGAATTGAACCGAACCGAACCGAACCGACTTACGTGGTTATAGTATTGTCAAAAAATTGATGGTTCAGTGATAATTTTGGTCAAATCGACCCCAAACCGAACAGTTATCAACTCTAAGTGTATAGTATTTGTAAGTAAATTCTCGTAAGTCTATATTTATATATGACACACATACATACACGCACGTACGTGAAGTGATCCATTTGCATAAAAGAAGAAAATAAAGGATTGAGTCATTGAGATATATGGTGTCTTCAAATACGTAGAAGCGTGTGTAAATGAAACTCTAGTTACACTACGTAACTGCGGACTGTTCCCCAGAGTTGAATGTAGAAAAATAGGAGTGTTTATTAATGGTCAATAAATGACCAATCCGCTTCCTCATTAATGTTTGATATCTCACTTCCACCTACCATGACTATATTCATATGTTAGTAATACATTAAATTCAACAATATCTATATCCATAATCTATTAAATATCATATCAAGCGAAAATTATTTTTGAATGATTCTAACTCTACTACAATTCAATTATTTCAATAATATCTTATTTTTTATTTTTCAATACGTATATTATAATAACATTCAATTATGCATTTTTACTATTTACATGCATGTTCAATAATTAACATTTATTTTCAAGAACTTGCATCTCTCTCATATTTTATATCAAAACGGTGCAAATGAATTCTTCAAGTTCATGTACACATAGCTATACAATTACTCTACGAGTAAATAGATTATTCGTCTTCGTGTACAATTATTTATTTTCAAGAATATTTATATATCAATGATATATGGCCCCGTTTGGTACCCTTTTTTTTTCAAAATGTATTTTTCTCTCTTCATTTCAACCACACTTTCTTTATTAAAAATAATATTACACGTAAATAAAAAAAATTCTTATTTTTCAACCACACATTTCCCATCAATTTACTATTTAAAAATGTATTTTTACAGAAAAATGTCTTCTAAACACCCTCTAAATTTAATCTCCAGGTTCATGTATACACCCTTTTGTATAAATTAATTTTCAAGATAATGTGTATATAAATTATTTTCAATAATACTTTAATTTTTCATTTTTCAATATGTATTTAATATTCAATCATGCATTTCACTACTTATGTGCATGTATAATAATTAACATTTATTTTTCGGAGCTTATATTTCTCTCGTATTTAGATCAAAACGGTATAAATTAAGTTTTCAAGTTCATTTCAATATGTTGCGCGCTCACCTGTGACTTGTTATCCCTACTATATAAAAAGGTCAATCCTAGAGGTACTGTAGCGGCAACAGTGAATTCTTTCATTTTATTTCACTGTAGTTTTTTTTTTTTAATAATTGTGGGAGCAAAATCAACGTCGTTTGTCTTCAATTATTTCTCTATTTTTTACATGCCGCTTCACTGTAACCATCACCTTCACTACAACATTTCTTTATTTTCACATACTACTTCACTTCATCCAATCTAACTAATAAAGAAAAAAACTAAATGATTTAACAAATTAAACAACAAAAAATTACATGCAAAAATAAAAAAAAATAAAAAGTTATTATAAAGTTTTTTAATTAAATTGAAATAATTAAAATTAAAATTAAATATTATTTAATTAAATTTGAAAAAAAATAAGTTTTATTATAAAAAAATTAAAAAAAATTTTAAATCGAACAAAAAATTATTTATAATATGAAGAAAAAAGAAATTTTAAAACAATTCTAAAAAAAATATAATAAAAACAAAATACAAGAAAGTTACTAAATTTTTTTTTTAAATTATTTACAATATGCAAAACAAATTTTAAAAAAATAAATGAAACACAAAAAAAAATAAATAATGAAATTCAATCTCTCCATCCACGGCCACTGCGGGATGGAGAGAATGTGTGAATGGAGACGCACACGCAATGGATGGAGAGATCTGCGGAGAGAATTTTTTTGTTTTTCTCCTTATTTATTTGTTCTTTTTTAATTTGTTCTGTTTATGTTATAAATAATTTTTTTCAATTTAAAATTCATTTTAATTCTTTTCTCATCATGATAAAATTTAATTTCTTCAAGTTTAACTAAATAATATTTATATATTTTTATTTAATTTTCGTAACTTTCTTTTTTTTTATATATATATATTTTTTAAAAATTGTTTTAGAATTTCTTTTTTCTTTATATTATAAATAATTTTTTTGATTTAAAATTCTTTTTAATTCTTTTCATTTTATGATAAAACATAATTTTTTAATTTTAAATAAATAATATTTATTTTAAATTTTAATTATTTCAATTTAATTAAAAAACTTTATAATAACTTTTTTTTGGTTATTTTTTTCGCTTGCAATTTTTTCTTTAATTTGTTAAATTATTTAGTTTTTTTTATTCGTGTTAGTATAAAATGATAGT